CAACTGAGCCACCCAGGCGCCCCATGCTCAACTTCTTAATTTTCCCTCTGCATGTTTATATTCTTTAGTTTCCCTTATAAAACTGTTTTCCTGATAGAAAAATTTCCATAGAAGAGATTGTCAGGGCGGTTTCTTTTGGTTATCTACGTCTAGACAGGCCTTACTCACGGGTGGGATGACTTGCAAGCGGCCGAAGGCGCACCTGAATCATAAAACTCCCCCCAGCCCGCGGTCTGCGGCCCTGGCTTGAAAGTCCAGCTGCACACAGGTCCTTGCTTGGGCCCCTGACAAAATGTCAGTCATCTGGGAGGGGGTGTGGGTTAAAGTCGTTTACTTGCTAACACCCTCGATTGGTTAATTTGCTCCAACACAGAGACACACCAAGAGCCCTGCACCCGATGACGGGACAGTCTGGGAGGGAGGCTGCCCAGACAGGCACTTACATCCCAAAGGCTGGTGGGCAGACTGTGGGGAGGATTGTTTTCCTACAGGTGTCCTGTCTCCTGACAACAGGGCCTATTCATCACCCCGAGGGCCCGAGAACTAGGAGCAAGCAGCCAGGACTTCAGGAAAAGCGGCCTCCTCTCGTGGGCCAGCTGGGAGAGCGCGCTGGGGAGGAAACACAGCATCCCTCCTGGTCCCTGGTCCCCGCCCTTCCCTCTAGCCTCCTTGCATCCCTGGGGTAAGGGTCACTGTTGCTTCATTTCCTTCCCCTACTCCCCCAACGCATGCCCCCGCTGTCCTGGAGGCCTGAACATATTTCATCCGGGGCAAGTTCTTTTATTCACTGTAAGAAAAATGGCTTAGAGAGCAAATACCCTGCGGAGAGGACACACAGTGAGGGCAACTCTCCACACTAAGACATTAGCAATTGCAGCAGGAAGTTCTCCATTGGGAGGAGTTGCAGGAGGTGAGTGTGGACTCTGGGATTAGGGGAAGCAAAGATCACTAGAGGCTGCAGGGGGCTGGGGAACCAGGGGGAGGGCGCAGGAGCATACACCACCAATCCAAAGGCCTGCTCGGTGCTCTGTCTGGCTCCAGTCTCTTTACCACAAGACAAATGGACAATGCTAGGCTAATCAAGTTCTTGTTTTTGAAAAACTGAGTTCGTTAAGTTGTAAAACTGTTTTTAAGAAGGTATGATAAGGGCGCCTGGGTGGCTCAGTTGGTTAAGCGACTGCCTTCGGCTCAGGTCATGATCCTGGAGTCCTGGAATCGAGTCCCGCATTGGGCTCCCTGCTCAGCAGGGAGTCTGCTTCTCCCTCTGACCCTCCTCCCTCTCATGCTCTCTGTCTCTCATTCTCTCTGTCTCAAAT